CTGGCCCCAGAGCTCTGGAGAGCTGGCCAGCAGGCATGACACAGGGCAGGGCATGTGCGGGGCATGTGAGGCAGTGTCTTCTCCTGGTTAGGCTACCCATTGCCCTTGAGTGATGACCACCAATGTTACCTTTATTGTCTGGGAGAAGCTCACATTGTGGCAAGGTGCAATATTTGCCAAATCTTCCCCAGCCACTCCTGAGAAAGCAGGACACTTTGTGTCCAGAAGCATCTAATGGATCTTGCTAAGAGATCACACTCAGCTCCAGGCCAGTAATACCTTCCCCCACCCACATTGACCTGATTCAGTGAGGAGAGCGCTTCCCACTACTGGTTCTGACTGTAGTGCCAGTGGAATCATCTGTAGAGATCCCATGGTACGTCCTACTCCGAATCTAAGAAAATGGATGCTCCTTACAGCAGCTCAGCCCAAGGGGACAGAGTATGTTCTAAGTTCTAGGAATGAGAAAAAGACTCATAAATAATGGAATCCATGGATTCTGGGCAACAAGCTATCAGTATCACCCTCTCTGGCACCTAACAAGATATGAGGCCCTCCTACACTAGGAAAAATCCCAGTGCAGATTCCAATGATTGGGAAAGAGAGACTGCCTGTCACCAGGGAGATCTGGAGCTTTAGCTGCACCCCAGGAGATCTTTGCCTTCCTAGATATGGAGTCACCCCATCCATTGGGCCCCATCACTTCTACAGAGATTTTGTCTCTGCCAAGGGATATACCAATACAGAATCCAGTACAGAATCCCTCACCATTCGCACCAATGCTGTACGTTCTTCCACTAGCTCTGATGGTACCATCATTAGAATCGTAATCCTCTTCCTCATCTCATGAGTCAGAACTGGGAGAACCACCACCCTTATCATACCACTTTTATGCACCATTGCAGAGGGCACCATATCCATACTCTATGTACTCTCGCAGCTACCATAGAGCCACTGGTACCCCATGATGTGGGAACCTCCACAATCTCTGTTGAATATAGCCTACTGGCCATATTGGGGACTTGGGCACAATAGCCCCTCCACCCAAGCCCACCTGATCTGTAAGAAAATCATCACCTTCCTCCCCTTAAGGGATCCTACAGGCATATGTAGGTGATGGTGAAGGAAAAGCTTTTTAGTCTGGTCCCAGCAATTTCACTGGAACTAGCAAGGTTTCCTTTTTTCTTTCCAGACTAGGTGATGGCTACATCATCCCCTTCCCCACTGGATGGCTTTAGGCAATTCCAGTAGCTGTTAAGGAGAGTCATGGGAGAACTTGAGATTACTTTGAAGGAGATGCAAGGCTCCCAGCACAAACTTCTGGATAGCCTTCACATCTTGGGACCTGCAAGAATAGTGTTGCTGATTAACAAAACCTTATTGGAGCCTGCCATGACTGTATGGCACATCCTTACCACATGAACAGCCTACCCAAAGGAGTGGGGAATTGCTATTATGTTCTGACTAATAGCTCTGAATTTGTGTTCTACCACCCATTTTCAAATGTCCTTGATGTCCAGCCTGCTACAGAAAAATCCAAATAGCAACACCCTGGATCTACACCAGCAGATAAGAAGAGCATCTAAATCTTGTAGGATATAAAGTATTTTCATCTTCTAGCCTGCAATTCAGGATCATGAATTGTTGGGCATTGTTAGTCAAATATCCTGAATTACAGTAAACTTGAAAAGTTTGCTGATAGCTTTTTGCATTTTCACCAGGTCCTTTTGTCTCCAGCCTATCTTCCTCTACGAATGTTTTTGTGGACTCACTCAAAAGGCATTTAATGATTGATCAAAAATGAAAACTTCATAATTCAGTAGTGCACAAAATCTTCACCTGATGGGAAACCCTGACCAGAGACCAAGAAATCTGAGTTATGGGAAAATTGGAAGAGTAAAGGGAAAATTGAATCTAGTTGTGTTCAGGGTAATTTTTCTTTATTTTATGGTTTGATTTGAACTGTTCTGTTTGAAGCTTTGCATCCCCTCCCCATTTACTATCTAGCACTGTGCCCAGAGACTTTTCTCTGTGTTTTCATTTGTTTTCCTTAGTTGCTTTGTAACCTCTAGAAATCAAGTATGCTTTATCAAGTTTATCTTTCGTTTTGTAATAAAAAAATCAGTTTTTTAAGGTGATTTAATTCTCGTGTCCTGAAAGGTCGGTCTGTCTGTGTTTATCTGCATGCCTCATACTGAGAGCATGGGATCCTCTTCATACCAGAGACTGCAGCTTGTTTTTCTCTTTTCCATTATCAAGCTCTTTTGAGACAAAAGAGCTTGGGGTACCTCAAGTGTTCACCCCTGGTTTTCGGGACAAAATCACTTGATGGTGGCAGCTGGTTTGTTTGTTTATTTCTCAGAATCAGGGAATTTGTCACTCTGGGAAGTTTTGGTAACTAGTGCCTGTAGCGTCAAGGTTTTAAAGCTCTATTGCAGACCTCTCTCTTCTGCACTCCGAGTGCCAGAGTAGGGAACAGCCCTGACAACCCCTTTCTCCAGATAACTTATAAATAGGTTGAATAGGATTAGTCCCAGTACATACTCTTGGGGGACACCACTAGTTACTACACCCAATTCTGAAAACTTACCATTTATTCCTACCCTTTATTTCCTGTCTTTTAATCAGTTATCAGTCCATGAGAGGACCTTCCCTCTTATCCCATGACAACTTACTTTACTTTACTTAAGAGCCTTTGATCAAAGGCTTTCTGGAAATCTAAATACAGTGCACTATATTCACTGGATCCCCCATGTCCACATGTTCGTTGACCCCCTCAAAGAACTCTAGTAGATTAACAAGGCATGATTTCCCTTTACAGAAACTATCTTGACTTTTCCCCAACAAATTATGTCCATCTATGTGTCTGACAATTTTATCCTTTACTATAATTTCAACTAATTTGTCCAGTACTGATGTTAGATTTAGCGGTCTGTAATTGCCAGCATAACCTCTTGAGCCCTTTTTAAAGATTGGTGTCACATTAGCTATCTTCCAGTCATTATGTACAGAAGATGATTTAAAACATTTCACTATTACTTTTTGAGATTTTGACTAGCTGGTTTTCAAACTCCTTTTTTGCTTTTTTTACTATATTTTTACACTTCTTTTGAAAGAGTTTATGCTCCTTTCTATTTTCCTCATGCAAATTTAACTTCCACTTTTTAAACAATGCCTTTTTATCTCTCACTGCTTCTTTTACTTCGGCTCCTCCCCAGCACTACATGTAAGCCTATCTGGATGTTTCAAGAGATCTGAAACCTTTGCACCAGGCAGGCAAGTCTCCATACAGTTCTTCCAGTCATCACAAACCCAGCTATCTATGTTTCTAATGATTGAATCCCCCATTACTAACACCTGCCTTTTCTCAATGACTGGAGTTCCCTCCCTTGGAGAGGTATCCTCCATGCAAGAGGATACCATAACATCATCTTGAAGGAGGGTCCCAGCCAGTGTTCCTCTTAACCTGCATGGCAGCACAGCTTCACAGGTGATTAATCAGCCCTCCCAGTCAGTCAGCTCAGTCATGGAGCCCTGAGTCTCTGACTGGCTGGGGCTGATTAATCACTTGTGAAGCTGTGCTGCCCTGCAGCTTAGAGGGAACACTGGTCCCAGCTATGGGATGGTTTCCTTCTGCTTGAGTTGAATGTTCTCCTTCCCTGAGTCTTTCACCCTCTTGAACACCACAGGGGTGTCTGACTGGAAGTGGGACAGTTCTACAGTATCCTGGAAAGCCTCATTTACATACCTCTCTGCCACCCTTAGCTCCTCCAGTTCAGCCACCATGGCCTCCAAAGCCTGTACACGGAAGGCCAGGAGCTCCTTGCATCAAACACACACATATGCCACCTGTTCATAGGGCAGGTAATCATACATGCTACATTGGGAGCAATAAACAGGATAGCCTTCAGGATAGCTGCTGGGCTTCTGCCTGCATTCTCTCCTACAGAGAATTAGATTATTGATAGGGTTTTTATTTAAATCAGGTAGTTTTGACTTTAGTTTAGTTTAACATTTTAAAGAATCCCGAGTGTATCTAACTCCTCTTCCAACTCCCCCTCTAAACTCCTTCACGAAACTCCCTGTTAGCTGCCCCTGTTCGCAAAGCTCCCTGGTCACTTACTAGCGGGCTTTATATAGATATAAAGATAAAACACCTTTAAAAAGCAATCCTGTCAGGTTACTTGTGAGTCTGATGCACAGTCAATCATAACATGTATGAAAGCTTTGCCCTCAAGTAATCAAGAGTCCAATATTGAGTCTTTTGATTCTGAGATAAAGCCTGAACACAGGTCACATTTGTAGACAATGCCCAATTACCCAAAATAGCTAAGTACAAAATGTACTGTGAAGAATTACAAAGGGATCTCACGCAGTTGGGTGACACAGCAACAAAATGGAAGATGAAATTCAGTGCTGATAAGTGCTAAGTACCTTGCCAACCCCTTGTGTTGGATGCTGGAGTACGTAAAAAATTTCCCCCTACTTCTTCAACACCATAATCCAGTGGTGAATTGCTCAAGTTTCCTGTTAAATAAGACATAGTTCCTCTGAATCATGGAGCCATGTTTGTGTCAAGCGCTTATCATCTTAAATACTGCCAGCAGCAGCTTTAGCACTTTTGAATTTTAAAAGTGCAGCTTTGGTCACAGGCTAGAGCCTGAATTCAATAATGCTGATACCTTCTGATGTACATCTGCTGGTGGAAGTAGAGTGTACTTGGGTAAGACTAGATACCCTATAGAACTGAAGCAGGCAAGATATTTTGACATATGGAGCAAAGTATAACATCCTTTTTTCATATAATTTTGTCTGAGGGCTAGTAGCACCACATACTTATTTTTTGTGTGTGGTGGGAGCTTTTTATGGAATTGGCATCAGGCATTGAATTAATTTTTTAAAAATAATTTTGTGCAACCCAGTAATCACATAAGTATAGTATAAATCTAAAATTAAATCCAGTAATGTAAAAATTGTTTGCATTTCTTTGTATATTTTAGGCCGTTTTGGTCAAACAACTCCACCACTTGTTGATTTTCTTAAGGACATTTTAAGAAGATACCCAGAAGGAGGACAGATTCTTAAGGTATGAAAAAAATGTACTTATTATTGTTAAGTAAATACATATCACAGATTAATGTTGTTTTAAACATTGTTCATTATGATGTAGATTGTTTTAGTTAATGAGATTTTTATTCTGATATAAGAATGTTTATTTTCATAATTTTCCATTTTGGGGGCAGCGGTAGGTGAGTCTACAGTTACTTGTTTTTTAGATTATGGCCTATTCCTTTTGCTTATTAGAAAATAACTTTGTATATTATAAAGAATGCAGCCATAAACAATTGATCTTTATTGTATACTTTGCAATAATTTCATGTTGATTACTGAAACAAAAAAATCACAATGCATCTTTTTTGAGGAAGCCAATTGTACCTTTAAAATGTCCTAGTTAAATGAATATTCTTTTCCAGTGCATGTTGTAATAAATAAAATAGTAATATGAATAGAATTTTTTTAACCTATTTTAATACTGTATCTGAGTAATTAAAAACAATTGCTGCTCTCACTTCTCTGTAGTGTTGATATAATTTGGAAGATGAATTTCATTAAGTTTTATTCTGAAATCTATGACATCCTCTGATTACTTAAACAATCTCCTTCTGTTTAATCGGCTGTCTCTCTCTTTAATATATCAGTGCAGTACCATAAAGTAACATTGTTTAGATTATAAGTGCTTTTAAGCAGCAGGGATATAGTGTCTATTTTTATATTAGTAAAACAGCTATTACACTTTTGGAGCAATACAAATAATAATGAATCCATCAATTTCTCCACTCACAAGCAGTGTGGACGTTAAAGAGTTTTTTGTGTAAAAAGGAAATGTCCACACTGCTTGTTTAAGCGCAAAAACGGCTCGGAATAGATTATGCAAATCAAGTGTGACAATATGCTAATCAGCGCTTCATTTGCTTTGCCTCTTCCGGCAAAAAATGATAGTGTAGACAAAGTGTTAGCGTATAAAGGAAAGAAACGTAGCATTTGGCCTACATTATGAGATTTTTTGGATATATCAGATAAAATTATTTGCTGTGGAATAACCAATAGTTTTATTACTTATATTGTCATCACAGAGTTTCAGATATCCTGCCTTGTTAACAAGAATGAGACAGTTCATACCTGCATTAGGATTTATTTTTCCCCTCTCCACATTTATTTAGACATTACCACATTGGAAAGTTTTCTTTGCAACCATAAGGGCTAGAAACATTTTTATTTACAGTAAACTGTTGCCATTTGTGGTGTCAAATGGTGGTGCGTTCCTGGCACCACTGTGAATTGTGAAATTTGCGAATACTTGAGGCTCTTGGCTCCTGGCCCCCCACGGTGAGTTCCCTGTGGCTCCCAAACTCACCATGGGGAACTCACCGCAAGGGGAGCTATGGTGAGTTCTCCATGGCTCCCGGCCCCATAGTAAGCTCTTTGCGGCTCCTGGCCCCCATCTCCCCTCCTGGACCATGATGGGAGAGAGACAGTTCTGTGAAGCATGAAGGTCTACTGTATTTTTGTTAAGTGAAAGCTTAAATTGTGAAATAACTTGATTAAAGCAAATGATAAGATGTATCAGGTCTTTCATTTCTGTAGCACACAATGTCCTGGTAGTGTTTCTGGCAGAAGGCCCTGACAAACCAGTCATTTGTGCTTTTTTTTTTAGGTGTTAAATGCTGGTATTCCTGTGAATACCTCTAAACTGAAGCTCTCAGGTGTCTATGATCTGAGTTAGGTTCAGGAATTTTTAATCTGTTCTTACAATGTTAGGAGACAAGATTCGAAAAGTTTTAAGCTGCCTTGTGTATATTGATTTGTTTGAATTGAAGATTGTTAAGGAAGTATTGACAGACACTTTTTTGATTTTATTTAAATACATAGTATTGGAATGAAACAGCAAAAAATGTAGTGCTTTCTGAGGAAATTCCCCAGAAGGAATGCAAGACTGTAACTAATCACATAGATACTATAATTCTTATTCTAATAATGATAGTACGGGTTAAACCTCTCTAGTCCAGCGCTCTCAGGACCTGACCAGTGCCGAACCAGATAATTTGCCAAACCACGGGTGGTAGGTATGGTCTAGCAGCGTTACCAACACTTCCACTGTTTACTCAGCTCTTAGAAGACATTTTAGGAGTAAATTTGAACTAAATAACAGCACAGAACACTGAGCGCCAGGATTGGTGGCTATAAACAAACTTCGGGAGACTTGGCCACATCTGTGGTAGGTGGACAACCAGCTAACTAAAATCATGCTGGACCACAGATGTTGCTGGACCAGAGAGTGCTGGACTAGAGGGGTTTGTAAGAACTTAGGTGATCTGTCTGTATTTTTACAAGGTCAGGCCAGAGGACTAGATTAGAAGGGGAGAAAGGCAGCTCTAAAAAAGCTGAAAACACTCTCCTAATTAGCCAGAGCCTACTTCAGGGTTCCAGGGCAGCCCTGACCTGGAGTTATCAGGGGCGGAGTGAGAATGGTGGTTGCAGGGCTGGGTCAGAGAAGCTGATAAAGAGAATGGCAGCAGCATTGCCAGAGACAGTGGGGAAAGTGAGGGACTCCATCAGGGAGTGTTTGGGCTCCCTTCCCCAACTATCCTGGAAGTCCAGCCGGTAGCTGGGGAGGACTGGTTACCCAACCCAGGCTGACTGGGGGCATCTGCCCCATTGCCTCTTTTAGCCAAGGGACAGAAGCCCAAATGCCGGAAAAGGCCATGGGACCTGTGCCACAGTACCTAGACTGCTGAATTGTGGACTGAACAGGGGTCTGGGATACGAAAGTGGGACTAACCTTGCCACAGTATCTTCTGGCACCATTGTTGATAATGTTTATGAGAGCATTTAAGCACTACATGCAGAGATTCTACATGCATTGAGCTGTGATTATTTCTCTTTCTTCTCCATCCCTCTATCTTTTAGCATGCACTTGAGATTGTGTTGACAATAACAGCAAATAGTCTATGGTGTATTTATTTAAATTTGTTTTCTATGGGGCTTACTCCAAAATTAAATGCACTTTAAGCATAGTCAGACCTGATCTATACTGGCAGAGAACATTGGTGCAAGACTGCAACTCCAGCTATGTGAATTGCGTAGCTTGAGTCAGTGTAATTTGCACTGATTTTCTGGGGCAGCCCCATGGTGGGAGATTGATGGGAGAAACTCTCCCGTCGACTTCCCTTACTCCTCATGAATAATATCTTCTTTTTTTCTTTCCAGTCTACTCACTATTCCTTTCTATGCTGCCTCCATGCTTTCTTATATATTGTCTTTCTGTCAGTAGAAAATATCTACCATTCTTGGCCCAGGTCCACCACCACAAAAGCACAGAACCAAAACAATCCTATCCAACTGGCGTCTGTCTTTGCACATGTTTCTCAGCAGGCTAACAGTGAGCAGTAGCACGGTCGATAGGGGCACCCTCAGCGTTCGATTTAGCGGGTCTTTATTATAACCACTTGTAAACATCTATCAGGCCAGTCGGCCCGATGTCGCACTCTCTACATCGCTCTCATATGTCCTCCACCCCACCCAGAGTCCTCTCACTATCAGCCTTGTTCCCTTTTCTGGTCAACTCTACCATGCGGCGGCCTTTAGTCAGATCGTGCACTGTCGCTTCCGGGACAACTGGTGGTCTAGTCTCGGGTTTTGCCACGGGGAAAGGGGGATCCTGGCCGACCCAACCCAAGGCCCTAAGGACCCAGACTTAGCTGCAGTCCGGTCCAGCTGGCGGGGTGTTTTGCCATAACATGCCAGCCCAAGGGCTCCCTTTGCCCGCTCTGGGCCACTTCCTCTCCCCGCTCCTGGAGTCCTGTCCCCCAGTGCAGGCACTCCCCTCTCTCACCTCCGGCGCTGAGAGAGCTCTCGACTCTCCTGCCTCCCCGTCAACGCCGGGTTTAAATCCCCCCACTGGCATCTTTCTCCAGGGGCTCCGCCCCTTTCCGGCGTGCTGTCACCTGTGCCACCAGCTCCCGCCCCAATTACTGCTCGCCCTGCCCTCGGGTGGCTGTGGTTCCTGGTGCCGCAAGGGGAGCTATGGTGAGTTCTCCATGGCTCCCGGCCCCATAGTAAGCTCTTTGCGGCTCCTGGCCCCCATCTCCCCTCCTGGACCATGATGGGAGAGAGACAGTTCTGTGAAGCATGAAGGTCTACTGTATTTTTGTTAAGTGAAAGCTTAAATTGTGAAATAACTTGATTAAAGCAAATGATAAGATGTATCAGGTCTTTCATTTCTGTAGCACACAATGTCCTGGTAGTGTTTCTGGCAGAAGGCCCTGACAAACCAGTCATTTGTGCTTTTTTTTTTAGGTGTTAAATGCTGGTATTCCTGTGAATACCTCTAAACTGAAGCTCTCAGGTGTCTATGATCTGAGTTAGGTTCAGGAATTTTTAATCTGTTCTTACAATGTTAGGAGACAAGATTCGAAAAGTTTTAAGCTGCCTTGTGTATATTGATTTGTTTGAATTGAAGATTGTTAAGGAAGTATTGACAGACACTTTTTTGATTTTATTTAAATACATAGTATTGGAATGAAACAGCAAAAAATGTAGTGCTTTCTGAGGAAATTCCCCAGAAGGAATGCAAGACTGTAACTAATCACATAGATACTATAATTCTTATTCTAATAATGATAGTACGGGTTAAACCTCTCTAGTCCAGCGCTCTCAGGACCTGACCAGTGCCGAACCAGATAATTTGCCAAACCACGGGTGGTAGGTATGGTCTAGCAGCGTTACCAACACTTCCACTGTTTACTCAGCTCTTAGAAGACATTTTAGGAGTAAATTTGAACTAAATAACAGCACAGAACACTGAGCGCCAGGATTGGTGGCTATAAACAAACTTCGGGAGACTTGGCCACATCTGTGGTAGGTGGACAACCAGCTAACTAAAATCATGCTGGACCACAGATGTTGCTGGACCAGAGAGTGCTGGACTAGAGGGGTTTGTAAGAACTTAGGTGATCTGTCTGTATTTTTACAAGGTCAGGCCAGAGGACTAGATTAGAAGGGGAGAAAGGCAGCTCTAAAAAAGCTGAAAACACTCTCCTAATTAGCCAGAGCCTACTTCAGGGTTCCAGGGCAGCCCTGACCTGGAGTTATCAGGGGCGGAGTGAGAATGGTGGTTGCAGGGCTGGGTCAGAGAAGCTGATAAAGAGAATGGCAGCAGCATTGCCAGAGACAGTGGGGAAAGTGAGGGACTCCATCAGGGAGTGTTTGGGCTCCCTTCCCCAACTATCCTGGAAGTCCAGCCGGTAGCTGGGGAGGACTGGTTACCCAACCCAGGCTGACTGGGGGCATCTGCCCCATTGCCTCTTTTAGCCAAGGGACAGAAGCCCAAATGCCGGAAAAGGCCATGGGACCTGTGCCACAGTACCTAGACTGCTGAATTGTGGACTGAACAGGGGTCTGGGATACGAAAGTGGGACTAACCTTGCCACAGTATCTTCTGGCACCATTGTTGATAATGTTTATGAGAGCATTTAAGCACTACATGCAGAGATTCTACATGCATTGAGCTGTGATTATTTCTCTTTCTTCTCCATCCCTCTATCTTTTAGCATGCACTTGAGATTGTGTTGACAATAACAGCAAATAGTCTATGGTGTATTTATTTAAATTTGTTTTCTATGGGGCTTACTCCAAAATTAAATGCACTTTAAGCATAGTCAGACCTGATCTATACTGGCAGAGAACATTGGTGCAAGACTGCAACTCCAGCTATGTGAATTGCGTAGCTTGAGTCAGTGTAATTTGCACTGATTTTCTGGGGCAGCCCCATGGTGGGAGATTGATGGGAGAAACTCTCCCGTCGACTTCCCTTACTCCTCATGAATAATATCTTCTTTTTTTCTTTCCAGTCTACTCACTATTCCTTTCTATGCTGCCTCCATGCTTTCTTATATATTGTCTTTCTGTCAGTAGAAAATATCTACCATTCTTGGCCCAGGTCCACCACCACAAAAGCACAGAACCAAAACAATCCTATCCAACTGGCGTCTGTCTTTGCACATGTTTCTCAGCAGGCTAACAGTGAGCAGTAGCACGGTCGATAGGGGCACCCTCAGCGTTCGATTTAGCGGGTCTTTATTATAACCACTTGTAAACATCTATCAGGCCAGTCGGCCCGATGTCGCACTCTCTACATCGCTCTCATATGTCCTCCACCCCACCCAGAGTCCTCTCACTATCAGCCTTGTTCCCTTTTCTGGTCAACTCTACCATGCGGCGGCCTTTAGTCAGATCGTGCACTGTCGCTTCCGGGACAACTGGTGGTCTAGTCTCGGGTTTTGCCACGGGGAAAGGGGGATCCTGGCCGACCCAACCCAAGGCCCTAAGGACCCAGACTTAGCTGCAGTCCGGTCCAGCTGGCGGGGTGTTTTGCCATAACATGCCAGCCCAAGGGCTCCCTTTGCCCGCTCTGGGCCACTTCCTCTCCCCGCTCCTGGAGTCCTGTCCCCCAGTGCAGGCACTCCCCTCTCTCACCTCCGGCGCTGAGAGAGCTCTCGACTCTCCTGCCTCCCCGTCAACGCCGGGTTTAAATCCCCCCACTGGCATCTTTCTCCAGGGGCTCCGCCCCTTTCCGGCGTGCTGTCACCTGTGCCACCAGCTCCCGCCCCAATTACTGCTCGCCCTGCCCTCGGGTGGCTGTGGTTCCTGGTGCCGGTGGTCTTCGGTGCGGAGTGGCTCTACCCCGTCACACCGCTAAATCGAACCTGGAAGATCAATCACTGGATCATCGATCCTCCAGTAAATGGAGAGGTGTCCTCAGGCTTAGCTTTTTTGTAACTTGGAATCAGATCTACATCACAATGACAGTGGGAGTAGGGAAGATGAGAGCTAATTAGCATAATAGAATCATAGTTGTAGTCTTCGGTGCGGAGTGGCTCTACCCCGTCACACCGCTAAATCGAACCTGGAAGATCAATCACTGGATCATCGATCCTCCAGTAAATGGAGAGGTGTCCTCAGGCTTAGCTTTTTTGTAACTTGGAATCAGATCTACATCACAATGACAGTGGGAGTAGGGAAGATGAGAGCTAATTAGCATAATAGAATCATAGTTGTAGAAGTTTTAAGGACACCATACATTTAGTGTTCTAAGGATTTCTCTGATAGTATTCATGAAATTGAAATAAAAAAAAGAGTTTAAGGACAGCTGTCAGATGGCAACTCAGGAGAGTACTGCAATTTCAAATGTGAGATAAGTATGTAACATTTAAGAGTTAGTTTAATAAAATGTTAGGGCTGTTGTGTTTTTGTGCATGATGTAGTTTTTACCATTCCTAATGTGCTGCTGATGAATCTGCAGCTTGATACAGGTAATGAATATTATGTAATATTTTCTAAATTAATAAAAATCAAGTTATCTAAAAAATTACACAAAGTGTACCCTCTTAGATGTTGTAAAGTGCTGTACTGATCTGTAAATTAACACATTTTAACTATCCAATTTGCATCATTGTTTGAAGAAATATGTGAAGAAGTATCAGTGAGAAACTTGATTTAAATCAATGATTTTTTGATTATTTAAATCCTGATTTAAATCAGTAATTAAAATCACTTCGATTTAAAGCACTCCACCGTGTTAGATAATTGCTACTATTGATTATTAAACTTATTTTATTGTCTGTTCTTGATCAGACTCATACTTAATACCAAACTTCTGGCATTCTTTATAAATTCTCATAAATAAAAAACATGCATCTGTAGCAAATCTCTCATACCTACAGCATACTTGAATTGTGAATGTAAATTTCTGTTTTTATGAACCCTGTGCATATGTTGAGCTATGCCTACAGAACTCTGCAATTAAGCTCGCTTTTACAATCTAATTATAAAAAAGACTTTTAGGCCTAAAAGAGAATCTTGGCTAAAAGATGTTTTGGTGCCTGTGGTCCAATAAAATAAAGAAGTGTATACGGCTATGATCATGCAATGCTTACAGATGTGCTACACTTTATTACAGCTTGGGCTTGGACCTCCTCGTCCAGCATTCTTGGAACTTGACTGGTCCTGAACAAGGGGATTTGCTGGACCAGGGGAGGTCCCTCCCAACATGTCCCATGCTTAATTGCTGCCCTTTGCTAGGGTTCCAGCCCGGCACCACTGCTGCCTGCTTGGATCTCCAGGCTGGAGCTCCTTAGCTGCCACTGGGTCTGGAGCTCTGCAGCCTCTGTGGAACCCCAAGCTCTGCAGCCAAGGCCAGAGCTCCTCAGCCATTGCTGGACCCTGAGATCCGTGGACACAGGCCAGAGCTTCCTGGCTACAGCCGGAGCCAGAGCTCCAGGACCACTGCCGACCCTTGCTACCTCTCGTCCATGGGCAGAACTGTCTACTGTGCCATCTGCCCCTTCGCACCCTCCCCATGGGGCTCCCAGTTGAGTCAGTGGCCCCCACGCCACTCTCCTGCCCCACAGCCTGACCTCCCTATAGTTGGGCTCTATGGTCCAGGAACATCCTTGGTCCTACTGGACCAGGGATGTTGCCAGACCAGAGAGTCCTGATTAAGGGAGGTGCAACCTGTATTGTAAGTGATCCCTTTAAATTGTCCTTTATAATAAGCTGTCTGCTCTGGCTAATTTAACAGTATTGCAGTTAATTGTCACTCACATATTATCCTGAATTGTGTGAAAAATATTTGTCTTTTATTATTACAAGTATGTAAATAGAAACATAGTCTTAATCACATATGATAGAAAACAAAATATAGAAAAATAAAATTTCATTGTTCATGTAAGGGGGTAGGTCTACGGAAAGAGGATGCTTCAGAGTCCTAGGGATCACTCCCTTTTTATGTTCTTCCTTATCTCCTTTGTTCTCAATTGTTATGACTGTTCATATATTGAAAAGATGCTTCCTTCAAAGACAGTAGTTGCCGCTCTCAAGGAAATTGAAGAGGGGGGTTATTGCAGAATAATACAAAGGACTCCATACTTGTGAGATTCATCAACCTGAGGCTAAACACAATGCCACTGCATTGCTACTTGCTTGATTCTAATCTGAAAGTTACTGTGTAATCTTATCCCCATGTTTATATGCTCCATTACCGCTAGACTGTTGTGTTAACAACATTTGTAATAGTTTAATAAGTTTAAAATGTAATGTGTATATGTTTAAATTTTGTTTGAATATGACAGTTGCCCTCTAAACTAAAATGTAGACATGTCTATTTTAATTTAATCAAATTGGAGAATATCACACTTGTTCAAAATTAATTGAATAAAATTTTTTAGATGTGACATAATTTTCTACTGTCAAGTTTGGAAGCCATGATTATATTATTAAAATAATTTTATGCCTAATCCTAACTTTAATAACTTGAAAGTTATTTTGTTGTCAGGAACTGATCCAGAATGCAGAAGATGCTGGTGCCACAGAGGTTAGGTTTCTGTATGATGAGACTCAATATGGAACAGAATCTCTCTGGTCAAAGGATATGGCACAGTACCAAGGTAAGTGTGTGTGTGTGTGTGTATCTATATCTATCTATCTATCTCTATATCTCACATTTTCCAATATGTCTGCGTGAGTCCTAGTGGTTCAGTAGTCTGTCCTTTATGGCCAGTAGGGCACCAATTGAATCCACGTGCTCAAAGACAAAATTTGACCATTATAAACAACTATTCAGATTTGGATTCCACAACACTTTGAATAAATCTAATAGTTAAGTGAGCAAGTAATCAATCAGCATACACAAATTAAATCTACCAATAATCTATAACGTTAGGGTATGTCTAGACTACATGGCTCTGTCATCAGAGCCATGTAGATTAGTTTACTAGATATACCCAGATGAAGCGGTGTTTTAAATAATTGCAGCTTCATTTAAATTAAAATAGCTGCCGTGCTGAGCCGATCTGCTGTTTGTCGGCTCTCTGAAAGGCAAAGGCACAAAATGAGCTCAAACTAACTATGGGAATAAAGGGAAACAAGAAGACTTTTTATAAATACAATAGAAGCAAGAGGAAGACCAAGGAGAGGGTAGGCCCACTGGTCGGTGACGAGGGAGAAACAGTAACAGGAAACTTGAAAATGGCAGAGATGCTTAATGACTTCTTTGTTTCGGTCTTCACCGAGAAATCTGAAGGAATGCCTAACATAGTGAATGCTAGTGGGAAGGGGGGTAGGTTTAGAAGATAAAATAAAAAAAGAACAAGTTAAAAATCACCTAGAAAAGTTAGATACCTGCAAGTCACCAGGGCCTGATGAAATGCATCCTAGAATACTCAAGGAGCTGATAGAGGAGGTATCTGAGCCTCTAGCTCTTATCTTCCTCTTCGTAGCCCTGCACCTCCTCACCCTCCTGCAAGCTGACGCCAAGCATGTCTTGGGCAGACTTGATGACCACAGTGGGGAAGTTGGCCACCTCTCCACCCCCAGAATGTCATCCAGCTGGTCATCGTAGTAGCAGGTGTGAGGAACTGCTCCTGAGTGTTCACTATGCTTCTTGGCCTTTTGATAGAACTACCTCAGCTCCTTGATCTGGAGCCTGCATGTCAGCCGACGGTCAGGGCAGTGTGTGTGTGTATGTTTCCGAGAAAAGGTTTAACGTCCGTGCCTTTACTGCTAGGACCGGGGTCCCATCGCAGAGGGTGGCCAGCAGGCCAACAGACGCCCCGTTATATAGGAAGAGCTTATTACATCTTAGATTTCAGCTGCTAGAATTTCATAATTCCTTCGCAGCGGGCAGCCTTGAGGAAAGACTGAAAGATGCCCCAGTGGGTCCTGTCACCTGGGAGTGACACAGATCCAAACGCCCAAGCTCTTCCTATAACTGTCCCTTTAGACCGGCTGAAGTTCTTTTAAATTGTGCTTGGTTCTGTTACAGCAACTGAAGGAGGCAGGTTAAAGCTTAAACAGTTACAGGTTTATTAAAGAAGCTTATAAATCATATGGTTACAATGGCTATTGCTCTATTTCTTAACTATTAGCAAAATATAGGTCTTAAAAATGGTTACAAAGAAGATAAAGATAGAAAAATAGAAATAATGGTACCAAGTAACAGCTTACTCTTTCTATGTGTACACTTAAGACAGAGGACCACATCCAGGTACCATTTTTACCCCCTTCTGTGCCTCTCGACTCCAGCATGTCAGGCCAGGGCCGGTCCCTCAATTCCTAGGAAAGACGAAAATACGAGGTGGGCGTCCCCATAGAACCTCGGGAGGTCAAACACCTAACCCGACCAGCAGGTAGAGGGTAGAATGACACTCAAAGTGAGTGTGTGCTGGGCCCATCTTTTATAATCATGAGGTCACGTATTTCTCTTTCTTATCTTAATTGCCAATTGATGCTGGTCTGTCTGCTGTGAGACCAGTTCTTACAAGGGAGTTGTGAACTTAATTTACACTTGTAAGAGAGATTTGAGATGATTAAATTTTGAAGTACAGGACATTGTTTTCTCAGTGGAAAATTCCTCTCAGGGACTGTGTGTGTGTTCGAATCAACATAGGGGCCAGCCGCAGCCTCGAGGCCAGCTTATTGACATTAGCTGCTCTCTCTCCACGTATCTGTGTTTCAGCTTCTCAGGATCAGATGAGCCAGCATAGACTATGCTGATATTATTGCTCCTTCTCTGTCCTGTATGCTTCAGAGAGGCAAATAAGATGGATAATATGGAGGCAGGCTGTCTGGCCACATTCCACCCCCTGATACGACACACCACATCCCAGGAATGCAAGATGGTGGCTTGCCAGTGCCTCTTGCCCACCTTGGAGGAATTTAAAAGTACCCAATGGCCTGATTAGAGGGTTTAGGATCTAGGAATTGACTAGGGACCTTTCCTGGTTATGTGTATTGAATGTGCACACAAGAGATAGCTACATTATCTAGGCATTGCACAATACATAGGGTTATGCAGAAAAGGAGTACAACAATCAAAACAATTAAAACAGTGGTCATAATAGAGTGTAGGAAAGGAGTTAAGGAAAGTTCTAGCTGTTGGGCTAACCAATTTAGCCATGAGTTATTTACATTCTTAGTTACAGCATGTCTTATCCCATACCGTCCATTGCCACTTCCCTTGCCTCCCCCCAAAGTTATTTTGAGGACTGCGGTAGTTGCTGTCATCGAACCATACCGGTCCCCATCTGAAGATGTCACTCTTGTTTCACCAGTCATTTGGGCTGAGAGGGACAAACTCGATTCCCAGTCCAGTGGAGGAGTCAAGTAAGGTGTTCTGGTACAGCAGTAGCAGTTGGGATGAGGAAGAAGACCATGGCGAGTTGGAGTGCCATGTCTCATTTCAATAGTCTGTACCTAACAACAGTGGTTGCAAGCGCTACAACAGCAAGCGGTATATATATATACAAAAGTTCATGGTGGTTTCCCGGATCCACACCAGCACTGGGAGGGATCCATCCCACTGGAGCACTGTTCAGGGTCATTGCCTCAGTTTCCTGTGATAAAACATAAGGTTCGCCGGTCTTGGATACAATCCAAGCCTCAGTAATGGTTATTGGTGTT